GGGTTTTGCACTGCTGTTTTTGAGGCACTGGCAACATCTCTGAAACACAAAAACACACATACTGTTAGCAGGTTCTGCACCTTACAACAGGTCCTAATCCCCTCATGGTCCAGATCAGCAATGTATCACAAAGGACCACTTTTCCCTCCTTGTTTACACACCTGTAGGCATCTACCACAAGGAAGGTATTCTCCTAAAAATTATGTTTCAGAACCTAATTTTATCACTCCCATGTTCAGTGTTAAACATTATCTATTTTGCTGGACTAAAGATTGCTCTATACCATGATTTCTCCAAAGAGGAGCACTGTACAGCAAGAGTTTCTCAGCACAAGCCCTAAAGGGAAGAAGTGGCAATATGCCATACTAATTTTTACATATGACTACTTTTTGAGTAGACGACTGCATTTAGAACAATAATGCTATCTGGAACTCAGGCTTACACTCTCTTTTAAGGTGTTGATGGTTTATTTATTCTATTCTATCTATTCTACTTAGAAATACTGGTTCATTCCAGTACCTTCATGTGGTATAGGTTTATTCCCTGCATAGTCAGTGCTCCAAGTACAGAAAAATGTTTCTGCGGCAATATGGTCTCAAGCTCAGCAGGAGCCACCAATCATTGCTTGGTTCTATCACCTTATGATACTTCATTAAGCTGATGCCATCAAAGCTACCACTCCTGTTGGAGCCATGGAGCAAAATTCCTCAGGAAGAACTATCACACACAGAGGAATAGCACTGAACAACAGTAATTTGTCACTCAGTACTAGGCAACTTATTTCACAGGAGCTGGGAGTTAACTGCTTCAGGAGGGATGGCTTGCTGGGTATAGCTTCCTCTTCTGTAAGACTATAAATAACACAGAATCTGGAATCACACTTCACAAACATAAAATGCAACTGAGTATGCAAAATGAAGAACTACACATAATACTTTGGAAGGTATGTGGAAAGGCAGCATTTGTTAAAAAGAAAAGACAATTTAAAATGAATGGCATATCGTAGATTCACAATTTACTATCATACAGTTGCTTCATGGCGTGGAACAGAAGGCAGTTTAAATTAAGAGTATAATTCCTGACATAAGTGACCTTGATGCTTATGCCACAGATAAGAGATGAAATTGGAAGCTTTGATGAACACTAGTATCGCCCAAGTCAGCACTGTGTGCAGACTCTGAGTGGCCTCGCTATAACATTATACCATGTGTCCCGTTTTGGTGCATGTATCAGCATAAGCGGATGTGATAAATACTTGCTTTAGAAATTACCCATCAGGGTTTAGCAGCCTTAAATCCTGACATCCATATTAGCTTAATGACTGCTATAAAAAAGGTACAGGTTGTTCTGTAAATTGGAATCAAATGAACAATCATGCTACATAGGAAGGGATGACTAAGTCATATAAACAAAGTGAAAGCTTCACTTTCTGAGGGGGGATTTTATTTGACTAAATTATCCTCTTGAATTATTTGACCTATCCTAAAAGCATTTCAAACTGTCAATCCCCCTACATGTACAGCTTTTAACATGTCTAATTTCAACTGTGCTTACTGCTCACACCCTTTTCCCTACAAAAGGGCTGGGAGCTGAAGCTAAAGCAACTTCTATTCCCCCTCCTCCCATATTGAAGACAAAATATCAAAATCATTAAAGACCCTCCCACACAAAAAAGGAACATATGGAGACAAAACTATCAGCTTTTAAAGTTCATCACAAAATAAGCTTAGAGATACAGGAGCAAAATTCACTACTACTGAAATCAGTGGGAGCCTAGGCACTGGCTTAAATTAAAGGCAACTCTGTCCTTATTTCTCACATCAAATATCAGTTTGACAAGGAAAGGATGTCAGTGCAAGAATGCTGAGAAGCCTCTGGTTTCCAGACTGGAGTTATCGCCTTCTGTACCTGCACAACACAAATAATGAAACCTCACTGACAACTCTCTGAAAGAAAAAATCAATTTAATTTTCATCTTTCCTTTATCATCTTAAAGATGTATCAAATACCTGAAGCCAAATTAATGAGTAATTCTTACAAAACTGCATAAAGAAAAAGCACCCAATAGAGACTTGGACCCATGTCCACAGATGTGTAGTTCCTCTGGCCTAAAGAAAGATAAGCATCTGAAACCTTCAGTGATCTCAGCTGTAATCTTTTGCTCATAATTACAGTGCTGGAGAGGAATTTTTAAAGCCAACATTTTTCAAACTGTAAAACTTATCTTTAAGAGTAAGCTTTCAGAGACTGATCAGCCCTTCCCCTGTATCAACTTCCCCAGAACATAAGCTCCTTAAAAAAAAATAAATTGAAAACAATCTAGATTTTTCAGAAAAGCATTAAAGCCACTGATTTATTTTGCTACCCAATTTAGCAGAAAATCATCATTATCTCTGGAGTAAGATGTACATATTGTTTAGCATTCAAATCAGAACAGCTTGCTTTCTTTCCTTGAAGCCCAGGTTCCCAACCTTAATAGCTGTAAACAGCTCTGAATGAACCAGTGCAGTGCTGCCTTCCCAGGTTTGCCAAGACCTCTGCTCTATGCAGTTCTCAAACAGCTGCAGTACTGAGATGACCAAGGTGTTCCATGCTGTCTTTCAGAACCCTAAGGACAGCAACCAACAAGAGAAACTCCCCTTTTCTCTTTTATATTAGGCTGATTTGTGGAAGGAGAATCTAGAATAATCCCCATAGGAGATGAACTTAAGAACCCAGAGGTAAAACAAAGAAACATTTTCTTTCACCAAATAGTTTCTTTTGCCAGCTGAAAGCAGGATGCTTCAAAAAGCCCTGTACTTCTTAGTGGCAGATATGGATGTTGGATGGCTTGAATGTGGTCCAAGCATATTAGCCTGCTGAGAGCACTTGAATCTCTCTAGCAGCTGGGACAGGGCTCACCATCAGGGCTGTGTCCTCCTGTGCCATACTTCTCTACAGCAGTCTCTGGGTAATGAATGGCACTCATAAAAGTATTTATCTCATAATTCAATACTACAGTGTTTGCCACAGGAAGTCCTTGACTCAATGGGCATCCTCACACTTCCTTTCTTTACAATTTGGGCAAAAGGCTCAATTTAGGTCTAAGTACTATAAATATACATTTATATTGCTTTCAACCAGACATCTTAGAGTGCATCAAATCTCACACCAATAAAAATCTCCAAGAGAGTCACTAAGGAAGGATGACAGCTAGTTCTCCTTTACAATTCTACCAAGTCAACAATTCGTTTGGCTTCAAAATATAGCAAAGAAAAACACTTAGGTCTGTCAAAACATTATTTGACTAGTGAAGTCCTTCAGAAACATCACAGATTTCATGTTTGCCAGCCTAATTAAAACTGTTATGTGCACCCCTAAAAGGAGTACAGGTCCAAAACGGCAGATTAATTTTAAGTAATTATCCATCAAGTAACTAAGAATTTATGGTTTCCAGGTATAATATTTCAGAAAATGAGTTTTGCATTATAAAGAGATACTAAACTTTTTTCTTTAATGAAGGATATAATGGGCTCTGCTTACCTCCCAAAAGACCTCTTCCCCCCCCCCCAGCACCTTCATCAGAATAGTTTTTGTTCTTTCCTCTCAACACAGGCAGAAAGAATCCAGCATTTTACAGACTGCACAAACCTTACAGGATCTGTTAACACGAGGCAGGACTTAATAAAGTCATACTTAAATATTTAAAATGAAGATTGTTTTACTTGACTTCAAGCCCCTAAAGAAAAACTCACTACTGCAGTACTTCTACTAGGTGGAATTGTAAGAGGAAAGATCCAACTGTTTTATATAGCCATAGGCAAGAAGAGCACCATAATTAGCTATAGGAGGAATGCTAAAGTCATCTTGAGTTCCTGAATGCTGCACTTTGGGAAGGAAAGGGACTCCTTTCTCTCCTCTGGACCACATATGAAAGGCCAAGTTGCAGCCTAGGTAACAAGAAGCAATTCAAACAACCATAAGGATAACCTGGTCAGAGGGAATCAATCAACCCCTAACAGTCATCAGTCCCTAACAGCCGACATTTCCAGTAATCTACTTCATCACAATAAAGGAAATATTACTCCATTTGAACCAGTCTGATCCTCTTACACGCCTGAATATTAGGCATGGAAGATGCAAGACAAAACAAAGAAAATTCTTCAAACCCTCTGCAAGAATGTATCACAGAAGCCTTTACCCCAAGAGCACTTTTCTCTATTCTATACCTGTGGTTTGCTTGGAAATTGTCAGTTTGGGAAAAGATGATTAACATAGTTTCATCTGTTCATAGTAAGGATGGCTTTTTTTCCTGACATAGAGATTTGGGTTTCTCTCTGGGACATGTGATGAAAGAGCAGCCCTCCTCCTATTCTCTCTCCCTGCTCCACTGATCAGAACATGCGGGTCCTTATCAACAGGCTGAAATAAGTTGTCATGCAAACAATTACATCATTAGTAAAAAGACAAACACACAAATCCTTGTTCTCTAAAAGAAAGCAATGTCACATTCTAAAATAAAAAACACATGGGATCTAGGCTTAAACGCTGATAACAATCAGCATGCAGGAAATATTCTGGGGGGAACTGAAAAAAAGAAAGACGAAGGAAAGCAATATCTTCCCTGCAACAAAGGAAGCATCAGTATAGTTCGAAAGAATCAAAACCTGCCACAAATGTCCAGACACTGATCCGCATTCCCTGTCCAAGGTGACTGAACCTCCGAGGCGCAGGCAGGGATGCTGCCCTGGACCTCCGGCAGTACAGACAGGGGAGAGGCTTCAGGGGCATGTGCAGGACCCCTTGGGAGACACGGCTCTGGGACCAGCAGCCGGGAGGCAGCCGGGGGCACCGGTGGCTCTGACCGGGCAGCAGGGTCCCACCAGCTCTGACCCAGAGCCTCGCCCATGGCCACATCGGGGGAAGCTCGCCCTAAGGACGGAGCCAGGAGCCCCCTCGCAGCTCCAGCCCCACAGGGCCCTCCCCGGCCACCTGCCCACCCCACCCCCAACCCCGCTCACCCGCAGACTCGCCGGTGTTGATCCAGTCCGGGTTCGCCAGGCTGGCGATGGCGAAGATGTCGGCGGCCAGGAAGAGGCATCCTGAGATGATGGTCAATTTGTCCATCTCCTCCGGCTCCGGCTTCAGCTGCTCCCGGCTCCGGCCTCCGCCCGGCTCCCACAATGGGCCCGGGCCGGGGGCGCCTCACAGCCACGGCTCCATGAGCCCCGCGCTCCCCTCGGCAGCAGCGCCACAGACAGGGCCCCCGGACGGAGCCGGAAGCGAACCCGCCGGGCGGGGGGGGGGGGGGGGGTACGGCAAATACCCCGGAAGAGAAACCCGCTGTCCCCGGCGTTCTCCCCCTGGCGGGGCGGAGCTTCCCGCGGAGGGCGGTGCCTCCACGGCAGCGGGGCGGGGGAACGCCAGACACGGCGGCGGGATTACCCAGGGCCCGGCGAGCGGCGGGGCGGAGCTTGCCTGAGGGGGCGGGGCTTGCCACCGGTGGGCGGGGCGTGGGACGGGAGTGGCCCTATGGGGGCGGGCAGGTGGCCTTGCGCGAAGGTGGGCGCGGCCATGTGGAGGGGCGGGACATGATGCCGCCTCGAGGTCTGTAGGGGGCGCTGCCGCCGGGCGCTGTGCGCGGGGCTGTAGGAGGAGGGCCGGGGCCGGGAGGCGAGGCCACCGCCTCAGGGCGGGTCTGCTGTGAGGGCGGCCGGTGTCCGGGGCCTCGGTGCCTCATTTTGTCACATCTGGTCCCAGCAGTTGTCCCGCATCCCGGTCTCCAAAGGTGTTTTTCAACTGAGGACCACGGGCATCCCTCCTTTATACCTGCACCTGCTCGGACACCTCAGTGCACTCCGGGAGGGCTTGCCCTCCCCCAAGGGAAATCGAGAATGGGCAACTTGGTGGGCACTGCATAGAGGGTTGAGGAACGATCATAAATTTATTGTTTCTCTTGTCACTATCATGCTGTCCCTTTGAAACAGCGGGCGTTAGCTTAAATTTCAGAGTTGCTCCTGTAAAACCAGGGAAGTGGACAGACTGATTCATGGAGGTTCCTCCAGGCCTTTCACGACTCTGGAGCACCACAACAGCACTACATTGCATTGCTGTCTGTATTGTATGCTTGGGAGAAAACCTAGTTCATCCTGACTAGAAAACTTACCCAAATAGACCGATTTTTGGTTACATGCTTGTCCATGGATTTACTTGTATTGAAGCATGGGGGAATCTGTAGCCAATAAATGAACTAAGCAGTAAATGTGAGAAACCAGCCGGATTCTGGCCACAATAACTCTGTGCCTTTGACATTGTCATTCTGGCATGGGAATGCTGAACTCAATCAGTTTAGTAGGCCACATATCTACAGGTAATGGGAAAAATATCTAATGTTTGCGTATTTTTTTCCTTCTAACAGCAAACACCTTCTTGTTTATTTCCAGAGCGGCATCACACTCCAGAAGCCAAGCGGGCAACTATCTGAACTCTTCACGTAAGTCTTTTGTGTAGATGGAAGGCTATACAACCAAAATGGGTATGTTAGTAAAACAAAGTGTTCAACAGCAATCAGCAGGGCTTACTATTTGGAGGGCAAGAGCTCTACTTAGGTTCTATTGAAATCACCTGTTCTTGACAGATTTTCTTAAGGGTAGAGAAAGTAATAAGACTTTTGATGAAAACCTGCTGAAATTCCCTTTAAACAGGGAACAATTGGTGCATGGAATAAATGGGACTATTGATTTTTTTATTTAAAAAATTAGAAATTATATTGCACTAACAACAGCAATAGAGCTGCCTTGAAAATACGTTATTTCCAAGAATCACCTGTGACTATCCTATAAACCAGCTTTAAGTGGTATTAAAATAGCTTTTAATACAAGCATTATGTAAAATTCTGTCTCAGAATATGTTTCTCTCCAAATAACTCAGCTTCATGGCAAAAGGAATAGAGGAAGGAGAGGTGGAAAGGAGAAAGAAAGGGAAGATGTGGTTTTCATTGGCTTTTGATATACAGAAAATATGAAATCTGAAATAGTGACAGAGTCATCTTCATATCATGCAGGCTGTGTGATCAGTTATTTGATTTAATCTTTCTCAGTTTTATCAGGGGACGAGTATGTGCCTAAGGATGCTGTGTGGCAGGACACCAGCAGCTATAGGTTCTCCAGAAAGCTCTGGGGTTTCAGACAGAACTGTGGTATTGATAGGCAGGCAGCCTAAATCTCCTCTTGGACTGAAACAATGCACTAGATGCAGACACATCCTCTGCCCAATGCCAGAGTTCCTCATGCCCGTGGTGCTGTTGTGGTGCTGGGGGAGCTTGGAACCCACCTGCCCTGGCATTCTGAGTAGTTGCTAGACACTGTTGTTTCCTCACCTGCTGGTAGACTCTTCCTCCACAGGTCACCATGGAACAGTAATATGTTTCCAAAAGGCTCACCTAGGACACTCCAGCATTATTTTGGCTTTAAAGGAAAAGATCTTCCTCAGGACTTGATGGAACATACCCAGTCTTTACAAGAGCCTGGGGATGAAACTATGAGTAAGTCATCTCTTTTGGTCATTTCTTCCTCTGTTCATTTCCATCTTCGCACTGCTGCCTCAGCACTATTCTTCCACTCCTGCTTTTCAGTATCTGAAACTTCTTGAGTCCTTGTGCTACCAGGCACTTTATCTTCTTCACAGAGCCCCCAGTGCCCCAAATTTTCTTAGTATCAAGAGGCATTTCTGCTCTTGAGGTTAAGTATTTGGAACAGAATTAAAGGCAGGTGACAAGGAAAATGATGTTTCTTCATGAGAAGAGAGAGATCCTACACTGCTGCCTGCAAACTGCAGAATTGGAGGGTAACTTGGAGAAAATCAGTAGAGGGTTAGGGCAACTGTAATGTAAGTTCTATCAAATACCTAAACTGTCTGTAGCACAGAACAAAGAGAAAATCCACCTTCCTTGGACAGTATATAGACTGATATCAGGTATAGTAAAAAGACAAGAGACTCAGCTAACAATGTGCATTTTAGCATTCCTTCTAATTGTTTTGTAGGTTTTGGTTTTGTCACTGTTTTCATGGTTTTAAAACTCTCATGTCCAGCAAGATAATGTCATATAATAAGAAGCAGCCTAAGATCAGGATTCTGGTATCTATAACTAAAGCTAAATTTATAATAGTGTTGTTTGCCATTTCATTGCTGATCATTTGCTGATGTACAAATGCTCATGAATTTTAATGGGATTTGCTGAATAATTTTGGCTAGAAAACAATATAGTCTTACTTCATACAATCTGTGTATGCTTATTGGCCTGGGAATTAAGTACTTATTCTGGACGTAGGAAACTAGGATTCAGTTCCCTTTTCTGGCTGAAATAGATTGAAACACACATTGAAAAGTGACTAAGAACACCACAGGAAAGATTTCAATCACTTCTACTGATCCTGTTCCACCTTGCATAAATTCCTGAGCAAAAGTCACAGGTCAGATATCTGACCTGTCAGAATTATCAGCAGGTTAAAGGGTGTGCTAGGGTGAGTCTTCCTTTGCTTTTCTTGCTTGACAATGCAAATTAAGTATTTAATCCAAATTAAATTTAAAATAATTTAAAACAACATTTAATTTAAAACAACATTAAAAAAACCCTGCATTTTTCATTGGGAAGGAAAAAAACCACAAACCCATTCCAGCTTCCTTCTCTGTTTTTCAGTTTAGCAGCCAAATTGACAAATAACATGTTCACATTGCTATACTTTCCAGCTTAATTCTTTTATAGACATTCTGGGTTGCCATTTGCAGCCTTATCCAAAGCTTTACTAAAGCCATTGGAAAGATGACTAAATTTCTGTATTTTAGAGAAGGAGGGTAAAGTGGTGGGAATTTTCATTAAGTGTTTTCAGACTGCTGGAGACGGTCTCAAGTAGTTTATTGGTACTCTACTGACAGAAGTTACATTTAGAGATTACATCTTAAAGCAGAGACAGAAAGTAATTTTTAACAGAATACAGCTTGGTTTAGGAGTCTGAAGCACTCATGTGACAGTCTTAATTTTTCCTGGCTGTTAATGAGAACAGGCTTGAGAGATGGAGGAGATTTCTTTATTATCCCTAGTATACTCCTTGGTGGAGACACGGGGATAAATGTCATTTATATTGTATTACTTTGCATTTTAATGGATAGCAGGCGCTCGAGTATTTTATTTCTGTAGATGCTAACTATGGCAAGTGCAGTCCCTTCCCTCATGTCAGCAGTAGGGTGTGGAACCAGTCTGCTGGAAATTTATAAATTAAACTTCTTTATAAATATTGATTTGGAAAAAAAAAACATTTTTATAGGAATTCAATCTTTTCTTGAAGTCCTTAATAGCTGACAGCTCCTCTGTTCTTTTATCCTGTATCCTATTCTCTACTTTCCCTGAATAAATCACCATTAGTAATGAACTCTTAAATAACAGCAGTATTGCTTTTGCTCTTGGTAAAATGTATGACACAGCAGGCAACGCTTATCTAAAGAAGCAGTTAAAGATGAGGGACTTAACTGTTTGGACAATTAAGACTGGGTCCAGCACCTACTCAAATGTCTCCTTAAGCCTGTTGAATTATATCACACTTTCAACCAGTAAAATTTTCCTCTCACTTTTCAAAGGGCAGGTGCCATCACTGGAAAGCATCTTTCACTGCACACTGGTTGCAGTACTGAAGGCAACTCTTAGGATGGGTAAACATGGATTAGGTCTCATAGTCATACAGAATGGGCCGTATCTCCAGATAATAAGCATTGTTGAGAAAAGCTCTGCAGCTAAAGATGGAAGGCTAAAACCAGGTAAAAAGAACCAACAGTGATATTCAAATTTAATAGCATTGAGGATGTTCTGCACCTGGGGCTCTGAGCCCGTCTCTGATTTACTTATGCTTGCATACATCAAAAGAAACTCAGTTTAAAATTACAGGGAAAAGAAACTAGTATAAACCGTGTAAAGCTCAGTGCCAGCATTCCATTGCAATGAAATAGCTGTGATCTTAAAATAGCTGATATGGGTGACTGTTCCATAATCAGATCAAGATTTAAGTCTATGTATTTTTCTCCAACAAAACCAGATTTTCTATTAATCAGGTTTGTCAAAAAATAGTTTGACTATTACCTTTATATAGTAGCTAAACTTGAGTAGTATCATTCTTTGTGGAGTGCATTATTGTTCAAGTAATTTCACTCTATAAGTAACACAAAACTTCCCAAAGGTTTGAAATTAACTTGTCTTATTGTTTGCTTTTTATTTCTCTGTATTATACAGAATAGTTACAAAGTGGCAATAGATAAATCTCTGTGCTCTAACAATCCATGCAGGTGTTCATTCGCTAAATGCTTTAAACCTGAAATGTTCTGTATCAGTACTAACAGACTATTACTGGTTATTCAGGTTTCTTGTGGAACATCAGACACCTATATTAAGCTTGTAATTGAAAGCTCTGTAAACGTGAATGCTTTACATGGGTCCCTAGACCGATTATGTTAGACTCAGGAACTACAGTTTCGGATGTCAGTGTGCTATGTTATTACTAAATATTAAATTGTCTCTAATGTAGAAATCTATGAAGCTATGACTTGAGTGTAATGAGATCATTTAGAACTTCACTGCTGTACAGTGCAAAGGCACGTCTTTAGATTAGAACCATTTTCCCAGCATCACCTTTAGAATTTGGGCAGTTCTTTCTTCTTGCACCTTTCAAAGAGAATTAGAAGAAGAAAGATCTACTTGTTTGATGAAATAAAAACCAGTGAGTAGAGTTCTTAACCTCATTTTAGAAAAGGCTTTGCATTTTTGATCCCTGTATAAAAATCGGTGGAAAAATCCTGAACATAATACAGGAATGGATTTGTATTTGAATTAAGTACCTTTATTATCTTAGGAGCTGATAGCTTGTATCTATTCCCTAAAAAATCCATATATATGATATTGATTTGGTTGTTGGTTTAAGGTTTTTTTACATCTATGAAGTAAAACATACATAATATTAGTCACTGAAACTAAGTAGTCCTGTTTGCAATAGTTTGAAAAAGGCAAGCTCCAAAAGCATTTTCAATAAAGCCTACAAGGACAGGGAGTCAAATTATTTACAGTATGTGATGTGTTTGATTTACTGTAGCAAGTATTGAACAGTTTAAAGGGGGCTAGGGACTGGTAACAAACACTGTCCCTTTGTAGTAGCTGATCTTAGGTTTTGGAACCAAAAGAAAAAATCTGAGCATGCTTCATGGAGCACCTGGATCTAACTCAGCATATTCCACACACACACACACACACACAAAAAAAAACAAACAACAGCAAACAGCTGAATTTGATCAATTCATGTTTAGAGTGAACTTACAAAACCTTTAAGACCAAAGCTGTAAAATTTTGTAGAAGCTCCATCCCTCAAGGATACCACAGGCAGCACAGTTATTTTGGCATTAATACCAATGTACAGAGCATGGGCTTGAGAAAAATATGATACACAAATGTATTGCCTAAGATTTTTTCTTGCAGTGAATTAGGTTTTATCTTTAACTGTTTTCCAGTTGATTAAGATAAGTGTTATCTATACAATGTCAAACAGAAACCTAAAAGAACAGTTTTATAACTGCTTTTAGCTTGGAAGAACTGGTGCCATTCTGCTGACTTTAATGGGAGGAGCTAGAAATTAACAGACGCAGTGGGAGGCATTAATATCTTAAACTTCTATGGTTATATTTACCAAACTCATATGTACATATGCACGCCCTATTCTCCATGCCAGCAAGAAGAAACAGGGCTGCTTAGGACATGTCTCCTCAGCATACCTTCATAGTGCAAGAGATTTTCTCCACGTTAATCTTCAGTGGCCACTGAAGGATATGAATCACAAAATCATTGACGGATGAGCTGAAAAACTGTGTGGTTCAGACCCTAGCTGCTGGAGCAAAGGAGCAAAATTATTTCCATCTGCAGTTCAGAGATGGCTTTGACTCACTACAGCAGTGTTATCAGAACAGGATGGGCAGAAAAAAAAATGAATTCTAAAAGAATCTATTCAAAGCCAAGAGTGTCTTGCGATACTTTACATCATAAGTAAATTTATGTCTGTGCATTTTGAAACATGAATTTGGGTAATTTATCTTTCTGCTTGATGCTGAGAGCTTACATAAAACTGTTGGTAAAATATTTTCTGTTGCTTTTCTTGTTATCTGCTACACTGATAGTTGCTATAGAACTTCTTGTTTGCACTCCAGTAGAACCAGTATCTTGTGATAAAACAGAGTGGAGAGAGGGTGTCATGGTGATGGAGTAGATGGAGTGGTCAGTGGAAAAAGGAGAATGAAAAAATGGTAGTAGTTCAGGTAAACAGTTTGAAAGCCTGCAATTTTTTTGCTATAGGCATTTTTAACCCAAAAGGGATATAAAGAAAATAGAACAGATGGAGAGAGACTCCTTGCTCTGCTAATGTGGCAGCAGACAACTGTACTGATTTTTTAAATCCCCTATGCTGCTCTGTTGCAGTTCAGTGCATAATGCTTACTGATACTGCTCCGCTGTGCAACTGCTTTTGCCAGGCTGCTCATGGAGCTGTAGTCTGCTGCAGGAAGATTCTGCTTGCCTTTTGCAGTCTCCAAAACTACAGGTTTACACACTAACTCCAACTCTCCCAAACCCTCAAAGCCCACCTTGTTACACCCCATGGTATATATAGGTGCTGGGGCTTCTGTACTCTGTTGTTCTTGGATGCAGTACTGCTTTTTGCCAAACTGCAGCTCAGTGCTTTCCACTGGCAGTAGATAATGCTATTTGCAGCTTTATCCCTTAAAACAAACCAACGAACAAAAAACATCACCACCACTTTCTGCTTGAACTCCTCAGCTTCTGCACCAGCTCTTGTAAACACCTCCTATGTCCTCTCTGGCCTGCTTGACATTGTCTTGCAACGTACCCATGTGTTGGCAGCAGAGCTACAGGCGCCAGCCACCAAGGAGAGCCAACCCTGAAAGCCTCCAGGGACCCAGACAAACACAAGGTGACATGTGCAGCTGTAAAACCTCAGCTGAACCTTGCTGGAGTCTGTCTGGTTCCAGGTAGCGATCCTGATCAGAACATTCACCATTCTACCTTTATCTGGCCCCCAAACCCCACAGAAATGGAAGATAGCACTGAATAAGCAACCCAAAGTTTATCATGTTCACTCAGAAAAATCCTGATGTAAACAAGCCATCTGCAGCTTTCCTTAGTGTTGTGAACAGTTAGTTCTTAACAGAGCTAAAATCATTTTCATTAGAATAGAAAGAAAAAGAAATGCCAAACACATGCAATAAAAATGTGATAGTGGTAAGATTACATATTTTATCATATGAACAGTTAAAAATCAAGTCTCTTAAACTGATTGTTGTATGCTTTCTTCCATGGCAGGGGATGTTCTAATAAAAATTGGACATGCCACCATTTTGGGATGGACCCTGCAACAGCTTAGGCAACTCCTGCACAATATTCCTATAGGGACAACTCTACAAATCAGAGTTTACAGAGATTTTGTTGAAGTACCTCAAGACTGGCAAAGTGCAATTGAAGTAATTCCTGAAGTAAAGCTGCCTGTGGTGTCAGTAGAGTAAGAAGTAACTATTGTACATAACTAGAATTTCACATGTTGCTTATAATTCCAGTGAGAAATGAGAAATAGTGTAATAGCTTTTACAGTTTAGTATTTTCTTTTTCTGAAATAGAAACCTGTGATTTGAAATGAACATATACCAAAGAAAAGCTCATTTTTCTAGTTACAGGGTAGACAGGGTCAGGATGAGCATTTTTAGATATGCCCCTTCCTGCCTCCACAGCAAGCAGAAGTCTGGCTGGCAGGAATGCCTCTGAAGTCTAGAGGCCGTATCAGTTTGTCATAGCCAACAACTGGAAGTAGCTGAGGGTACCAAGATGGAGGTCTTGCTACCACCATCTAAAAAGCTTATCTGTTCTTTAATCAGTCTTAACTACTGACAGTGGCTAATGAGTATGACTTTTGAAACTGAACTTCAGTTATGATTAATGTAGACAGGATACAAGTTTTCCTGAGGCACAAAGGTTTAGTAGAAAAGAAGCCTAAAAGGTAGGGGAAGGAACTGAGTATTTAAAGGGAATAATTAGGCTAGAACAGCAGAAATGAAGCTGGAACTTCCTTGGAAGCAAGGGGCTTTCTAAGAGATTAAACCTGGATGCTTATGTTTAAATACATCAAATTATTTCTACTCTGAAGGAACAGAAAAAGGACAGCTTGCTTTTCTGGTGACCAAATTACAACTCGGTTGTGGAGTGCAAGGGAAATAGCATGCAAAGGACTATGAAAAATAGTATTAGTTTGATATTAGAGCAGCTTCAGAACTAATAAACTTGTCTTTAGAACAAGAGTCCATTATTAGTGAACTAAATGGCTGTGGGAATTACTGCATGTTGAAGTAACACCAATATTTTCTGTATTTTCAGCACAGACTATGATGAAGATGGCATCGGGTCCAGTAGTGATGATGATGTAGGCTTGTAAATTTTTCAGTATAAATCTCCCCAGTCATACTGCTGTGAGTTCACTCCTAAGTTACAATCAATGCACAAAATCTGGCAGATACCTGATAAGGACCAGACACTTGGGGTAGGTACAGACCATGTTTGTGATGCTGTTCTTCATAATGATGTTGAAGCATTATACAATCCTGAGTTTGGTACTAGTGGTATTAGTGCTCCTTCATACCGGGCTACAGAAAACTATGAGACCAGTTCCTCTTCCTCCTGCCTTTCTGTATCACATACATCCCATCTGGAAGAATTTGCTTTGCTGCAGAATACCTCAGAACCCGACTTGTTCCAATATAAATTTCTGAAGTTGTATTGTGTCTGTTTTCTTCTAATACATGCCTTCAAAAAATCTGAATGTCCCAATATATTTGAAATGCTATATTAGCTATAGAAAGCTGTTTTAGCAATGCTTTCCCTCCCCACAAAGATGTCAATCAGTACTACTTGTGGAATAGACAGTCAGAGACACTACCTCTGCTCATCCCTGACAAGTAGCAGTTGCAAGCTCTAGGAAGGTCTAATATATTCATCTTTCTTTGAAGGCAAGTTTCTTCATTTTCTTGATATAAGGATGGTGGAGACAGTTGATCACAAACCCCTCCTGAACATACAAGAATACACAGACAGCTAGTGGCAATCACAGTATTTGTCTGCATCACAGTTATCATTATGATATATCTGTTTTTCCCATTGACTAAAATGTCATCTTACTCGCTCACTGTAGTTCTACCTTCAGTATACAGAGCCAGACTTACCAGCATTTTACATACCATTTTCAGTAGGAAAAAAAAAAAAAAAAAAATCAACACAATGTATGAACTCAGCACTTTATTTGACAAGTGCAAGCCCACAATTACTTGAGAGAAATTTGCTGAAATACCTGAATGCACAAATAACAAATTAGTAGTAATTTATTTAGAGCGTAGGTGACTTAGAGCTCATTGTAGGTCCATTGTGAATCTGCATCCCGGTTTCATTTTTACAACTCATCAAGAAAAGGAGTATTTCCCAAATCCCCACTAGCTGCCATCGATTTCTTCCCACTGACAAACTTCTTGGCAGCCTGAAAATACATCGGAAAGATGGATATGAGGAAATATTCACCACAACAGAATTTATCTTGCTGCTCACAGCCTCAGCTTCAAGTTATTAAAGCAAAAGCCAAATCCCAACATTACCATCATACATCAAACAAACAGTTTTCTTTTTGCTGTCAAAACTTGTTTCTATTCTAGATCCTTCTTACTTTAAACAGGAATGGCAGAATGACAGTTGGATATAAAAGGCATAAACTCTTAGAAAATAGTTATGTCTAGAATAATTATTACACCACAAGTGTACAGTAGATCTTTCCTTATTACTAAAGCTATTGCTGGTTGCTACTCCAACACAAAATAGTGGTAACTGTGAAAAAAACAAGTTTTCTTAGAATGTCTGATGGATTTCTGTAAGTTTGCTTCAAGTTGTTAAGCAACAAAGTGAACTGGAATAGCAATGTGGCTACATCAGTTTATTACTGAAAGAGTAATCGTTTTATTAAGCACAGCAAATATTTTAGGCTCAGGAATCCTAAAACCTTTGACATAGAAGTGCCTGCACTGGAACTAGCATCATGTTTTTCTTGAATACTAGTTGACAGTTTTGGTAAACTCAAGTAAAGTAAATGAGAATTTCATACACTCCCAGCTACGCTAGTTTTGCAGCATATTGGATTAAAGGGTCTCCTGTTAATAAAGGCCTAACAAGACAGGCAGCTGGGAGCTGTAAGTTGCCTTGGCTTTTTTAAAAGATTGTGTGTGTGTGTGTGTGTGTGTGTGTGTGTGTGTGTGTTTATATACATACATAAATGAGCACCCGTTTTGTACAAAAACCACTTACACAGTGATTAATAAACACCTGTAATGCTTACACATACTTACACTCACAACATCAGCACTGGCTACAGAGTCGATTTTTTGAGCAACAACAGATGGCGATGTGTGCGTGCCAGACATCAAAGACTCTGAGCCTATTTCATTCAGCAACCCCTCTGCAGTCTCCACTGACATCAAATAGGTGGCTTTCAGCTGATTTCTGCCATCAAATAAAGCATTAAGGATGAGTGAACATGAAAGTCCTGTTATTGGCTACCACGCCTGTAAGCGCATTGAGTTTTTGGTGCTTTTTAAGTTTTCAAGATTCCTCTCCATTTTGGAAGGTTTTCCTTTTCAAGTATGGAAGGGTTCTGTATACGTAGGAAAGAGGTACCACAAATACTCCAAGCATGAAAATGACAGGGTACCCCAGCACCAACTGCCACCTCCTGCAGTCAGAAGATCTCAAGCTCTGAATTTGTTTCTGTTTGAAGGAACTGATGCAGGTACCACAGGATTCAGATAAACTAATCCATCAAGTTTAAAAATTAGGTTTAAAATGGATTCCAGTTTCTCATCAAGAACAGACAATGCAGAGCTATTTTGTTGGAAGTGACAAAGCAGCAGTGGATGTCAATGGTGAGGCTTCTTAAGCAACAGTTCCATGTTCTGTTAAAAGATAGCAAGTTTACACTGTTCTGTTTCATGCACTCACTGCTACCTATGAAAATCTGATTTTTATAAGCTAGTCATTCTATGATTTTTTTAAACAACAAAATGGCAGAAAATGGTTCATTCCAATAGAGTATGATTAGACTGAATTGCCAGACTGCAAATATCGCTGGCCTTGAATTTGGTTTGGTTTTTGGGTTAGTTTTTGGTTGGTTGGTTGGTTGTTGTCACTAAAGAAAAAAAGAGCAAGATAGAAAATATGTGAATCCATTCGAGGAAAAGGAACCCCTCTTCCCCCCAGAAAGCCACAGTACTGTAACTCCCTAATACTAAGCAGCTTTGTTGCAAACAAACCCAAAAAGCCCCACAAAACAATTCACACACACAACAAATAATGTCACATATAAAGGTCCAGAATTCATCATTTAGCTACTAGTGACTAATGCACAACCAAGCATGTCTAGGTTATTACGTTTTCTGTAAGCAGGCTTTACATGGAGTCTTGTAAGTATTTTGCATGTGTAATAGGCAATACTTTAATGTTGCTACTTGAGTGAATCTGTACCATATTGTCATATTGCATAACTACAGTTCGAAAGGCTCAGTGCAGTCTAACACCACCTGGAGATTAAGCTCAACTAGTGTGCACAGCCCTCTATAAATTAGAAATCCTAAAACTTTGTTGATTTTACTGCATCTCTAATAGTAATTTCCCCCACATCTCAAATATTCCTATAGGCACATTATTTCAAACACTAAAGCGCTAATTCAGTGCTTTACACTTGCAGACCCTCATTACTACTATTCTTTGAAGATGCAGAAGATTGTTTAATGTAATTGTTTTGGGAACTGCTGCAGTGCAACTCTAAAGGGAATTACCTGAATAATGCAATTTAGGAATCTAATTTGAATACATCTTAATACTACAGAGTATGATTAAAATGACAGCATCTGTGGATATTTGCTGATACCTTACACTGAAACAGTTTTCAGAAACCATTATCTACCAAGTTTTTATAAGGAAATACCACTAGCAGAGGATCAGTACCGCTTTGGGAAAAAAACCCTACTGACACTGCTTCAGTTTTAACAGAGGAAATTGAGCAGCTCCCCATGGAAATAATTACAGGACAACGATAAGCTCTGCTGTACAGAATAATTTAAGTGTTTGACAAGTAGCTACATGTTAAGAAACTTCTCTTTACAACACACAAGAGAGCTCTTTATGCACTTACTTTGCCCTTGTGACATCATCATCAGTGATGCTGCCCTGAGCAACTGCCTTTACCTGGTTCAAAGCAGCTTTAATCACCTGAGGAAAATTACATCAGTTAAGACTTCTTCCAGCATTAAATTTCAACATGTTATTTATATTACAGCTGATGATGTCACGATTGTCTGCCTGAACTCACTTCTAAACAGCCTCATAACAAAACTAAAACCATAATAATTACATAATAAATGCCCAAGCAAGACACAAAATCAACTGCGGAATGAAACTGCAACACCACATTAATTTGTATGGTCTCACCATTTTTTCATCACAGTTCACTCAGTTCTGCTGGCTTCAAGAGCCAGCATGTTCCTTATGATATACTTAGGCTTACACATGTAAGTCAGCAATTACAGTCAGCAACCAAGGTATTTTACTAGCTCTCATTTGTATTAGGTATTTGTACTTCCCAGACAGCAAGTCTCGATCCCAGCTTACAAAGCTAAGTTATAACTGAACATGCAGCATTCTCACATAAGAAACCAGATGAACTGAGTGTTTTAGATGAATCGGTCTATATCTCAAATGAAAATTAGTTTGAGGGTTATGCTCCTAATAGTTAAATTCTAATTAGCAACTCACCTCCCCAGTGTCTGAAGCCTGGGATACAGTATATATCCCAAAGAGCCCAGAATCAGAGTAATTAACATTAAATGCGGAAGCCTGCAAAACAAACATTATCACCAACTGTTTCATGTATCAGAACAACTCAACATCAAGCATAGAAAAATAATTACTATCAGGATCTAAAATACTGTAAGTCAGGAAGCTAAACTCCATCTGTGCAGAGGAAAGATCAGACTGGAAGTCCTCTGAAATACTGTAACTTGTGCAAGACTGAACTAATTATGATTGTACCTGGAGGTAGTAAACTCTTAAAGGATAATAAACATTTTACTTAAAACATCAGAGTACAATAAACCTCTGAACTTACATCAAATGGCCGGGTAGTCGCTTTAGCAATACCCTGACACAATTTGCTGGTAACACTGCTTCCCCTCTTGATAAGGGGCCCAGCACCTAAAACATGCTGAAGGACACTGAACGCATTTGCTTCTGCACTCCCAACAGCAGTTCCTTCTGTGACAACAGCAGCATGGACAAGGCTCTCACCATTCTGTTTTCTGACTTCTCCTAAAAAACACAACAACAGAATAAAAAGTAATACAGTATTCAGTTAGAAACTACTATACATTCAGAG